CCGCCCCGCACAGCGACACCCGCCCCGCACAGCGACACCCGCCCCGCACAGCGACACCCGCCCCGCACAGCGACACCGGCCCGCACAGCGACACCGGCCCGCACAGCGACACCCGCCCCGCACGCCCTTCACGGGCTGCCATTAGCGCCCAGGTCTCCCGTCATTATTTAAAACCCCGTTTTGTACTTGCTTCTGCGAAACGATACTTTAACAAATTCAGCTCTGTTGGCTGGGAAGTTAATTCCTAAGTGACACGGTTCATAAAAGCATGAAGAAAAAGCTGCGTTGAAATAATAAATACTTTGCTTGTACCATTATGGGGAAAAGCACTAATTTGATTAGCACTAATTTATATTTGATTCTGGAAAGTAAAACACATTCTCTAAACAATCTGGTATGTGTAAAGGATTCTTCCATACAACAGTTTGCAGTCTGGATCAATTCACGCAGTGTGGGAAAGAGATAAAATTATAATTTACTAATGAGAATTATCATATTCGTGATTAAGCATCTCTTCCTGTTTACCACTGCCCTTGCTTACTTACAACAAGAAATGATTTACACAGCTTTTACTGGAAGCTGTAAGGAAGAGAGATAGCAGAATGCAACTGTCTCATGACAAAAGATTCAGTAAACTATATAAATGCTGGTATTCAATTTTGTTCAGAAAAAGATTTTTACAAATGTACTCTTTAAAACTACAGTTTTGTAAAAGGATCAGTATTTCCTGATTCTACAGATAAATGAAAATGTTGATCTTTGAAATCAAACTTGTTTTATCCACATTACCATAATTCCTCTCTAGAACAGCCATATAAGTTACCATAATTTGAAAATGTAGGAGCCAAATGCAAACACTATCTCAATAAAACAAAACTGATATTGCACAGCAACAGTCACTGATTGTATGAGCCACTTGTTAAAGTAAATTGAAGGAAAAAACAAAGGACAAAACGAACAAATGCAATTTTGGAGTCAATCCTAGTAACTGAGAGGAATTAATATTTCAGATGGTTACTTGATTTGAAAAAAATATTCAAAAAGAGGGACCCTAGGCAAAAACTATAAATAGGGCCAAACTGAGAAAAAATAATTGCACAGGAAGTGCTGCAGTGGACTCTGCTGCTAGCTGCCCTAGAAGACAGTCCTTTAGTTGCTATTTCACAAGAACATGATGAATAGATAGATAAAATGACGTTATATGAAGCTACAAGACCTATGCAGATTTGAAACAATTAAAGTAACTACATTCCTTTCCAAAAAGAATAAGTTTTTATAATTTCTTGTAAATATCACCACAAATGACACGATGTCTGTGGTGAACAGTTTTATGAATACATCAGGTATTTCTACTTAAAACTAACAGCCTGAAACAGGTCTTAATTTTACTACTGATGGCAGAACTTCAAAAGCTCATACAGAGTTGGGGTTTTTTTTCTTTTTTTTTTTAATAACTGGATTGTATTTTTGCTGAATTTCTCTTTCATTTGAAAGAGAACAAATTATTTGGGTACTTACCATCTTGCATTTGAGCAGACACAGGACCAGCAGTATTGCCTCACTGAAGCCCATCTTGTGCAGCCCTCTTGCTAACAGCTGCAGTAACTGATGCTTGCGGATGAGCACAAGATCAGCTTTGGGTGGTACTTCCTCCATGTATTCTCAGCATCTCATGTTCTCCTAGAACAGCTTTCCTCATATTTTTGGCATGTAGATTCACTTTGATGTAGTTTGTCAGTACAGAACTTGAATATCCTACTGGATTTATACCTGTCATCTTATTTTTTTCTCACCCTGAGAAGAGATGTAGAGCTCTAAAGGGGGAGACAGAGGCAGAAAGAAAAAGGGAGGACAGAGATAATGTAAGACTAAATATTTACTGCATATTAGACTGGAAAAGATCAAAGCAGCATATCTGGCCTTAAAAAAGCAATGAAGTTGGAGTTGTGTTTTCAGTCTTGTGCAAGTTTCTTTCACCTGGAGTAGAGAGCCCAGCTTCCAAACCAAACAGACCATGTCACTCAAGCACACATACAGAACTGAGCTGGGTTGGCTATGTCTGATACCAGCACCCCAGGGAAATGCAGTGTCTTAAAAACTCCAGAAGTGTCCTTCAGTCATATTTTCTGCAAACCTCACTGCTTATCCACAAGCTCTATGTGGCCTTTTAGAAATCTGTGCACTACTTGAAGAGAAGGAATGTAATTATGGTCTACTGTAAACCAATGTAGAGAGCAGAGAACACAGGAGAGCTTGTGCTCACAACAGATGCTGCTGCTGAGATTTCTGCCATGCTCAGACCCAGCAGTAACATATTAGTGCCCTCTAGAAAAGACATACTCTCATACAGCATCAGAAAGACACAGACTTACCTCAGTGGAAATGAGAGAAAACGTTTCTCATGGACATCATTACGCTGGAGGTTAACTACAAGAGATGTGGCAGACATAAGATACTTATCTTCCATTGATTAAGGGTAGGAGAGATTTGCTCCCAGAGCAAGAGTATACAAAAAAAAAAAGACCAAAATTATGAACATGTAAATATTTTTTTTTTAAGTTCAGATTCAGTGTCAACAAGAGTTAATATGCAGGAATAAAATGATGGGAAGGCTATTTCAGAAAAACTGGTTAAGCTATATTTCATAACCTCTTGGGAAAGTATCTCCTTTCTGCTTTTATATTTCTCCTCCTAAGTATATGAGAACACAGTGCCACTGGTAGGGGGTTGCCTTTTTTAATTAAAAAGTTTGTGTAAAACGCATCAAGTAAATCTCCCATTAGTACTTTTCAAAAGATATAACAGTTAGAAAGCTGAGTAAATCACATGCCGAATCTATAAACTCAGTCTAGCTATTCTTAAAAAGCTGCTTTGTATGTTATTTTTTGGCAGCTTTGAGTACTTACTATTATTTATTAATATTTTAGGGGGGGGTTGAGTTCAGCAGTAATTTTGAAAAAGATAAAAGAAAGATGGAGGAACAGTACTTGCTAGGGGAAAGGAAGCACTTATGGAGAGATATCCAAAGGCAGAAACATACCTGGACTATGGCAGTTCTGGAGGGGAGCAGATTTGTTAGTTATGAGCTCAAAAATAACCAAAACTTTTCAAATGAAAAAAGAAACTCAGAAGCCAGGCATCAAAGTGAGAAAATGAAGCAAGTACTTTCAGTAAATACTACAGGATTTATTGGACTTCCACTGAAAAATGTGAAGTGACAGCACCCTGTCACGAAACAATGGAAATGTGACTACAAGTAGAAGAATGAGACAAGAGGAATACATAGGACAGAAAGAATAAGTGGTATCATGTACACACAGACACACACATACAGAGAAGTAAAGCCTGAAGGAAATTCTGCCAGGGAAGGGAAGAAAAGCAGGTTTTATGCAAAGAATTACAGGTAATGAAAACGTGGAAAATACAATGAATGAGGTAAAGAAGAACTGTCCAGGTAAGAAAGAGGCAGAACACAAAAAAGTATATTAACAATGTAGAAAGTAAGTGCAGTCACGAATTCTATGAGAAAAAAAGCAAAGCTATTAGAACAGAAGCCTGTAAAACTTAACATGTTCTGTCAACTCAGGAAAGGGATGGACAGATTTATCCTTCAGCATCACCAAAGAGTTTTAACAGTGTTAAAAAGCCCTCTTGTAATTCCACGGTTTTAAAAACATAAAATGCTAGTTTCAGCTGGCCTTGCACCTCAATCAGAATATAAATTATTTCTTTTTTTCCATTTTGTAAATTATTCACACTGCATAACCTATGGAAAATAAACTAGGATTTTAGCCCTTGATTCCTATACCTGCCACAATAGATCAAATTTAACATTTTCTAAGGAAAAATAAGATAATTACCTGTAGAAGTATTTTGTAAAAACTTCCTTTTGCAGGTTCACTTGCTAGGAAAATTATGAATGAATCATCTTCAGTAACACAATTCCTGCCAAGCATACAGTAATAACAAAATATTATCATAAGAAGCATGTAATTCACTTAAAGCAGGGAGAAGAAAAAAAATAGGCCAACTTTGGCAACTTATTTTTTTGAGATTTCATACTAAAGTTTTTAGTGTTATTTCTGATTAAATCTTAAGTATTTATAATATCATGACCTCACATACAATTTCAGAGGGTTACCAATAAATGTGTAAATAAATAAGTAATCGGGAGAATTTTTTTATGTTGGTTACATAAGGAATAAAAAGTGGGGTTTTCTCCTTCAGAACTATATGCAGCAAAGGATAAAAAGGACTATGATTATGTCAGAAATAACAGACATGATGAGCAGAGTTCAGTAAATGACAGAGGAAAGGAGGACTGATGCTAACCAAGAGTTCCGTGATCTAAATTTCTCTATCAATCAGATTTGCCAATGAAACTCATTCACTAAGAAACAATAACAGCAGGTTCTTTTGATATAAAAATTTCAGATTTACAATAGAAAACCAGCTCTATAAGTGCTATTTTGAGGGGCATTAATTCATGCAGTAACCCAAAGGTTAGAGGGAGTGGATGTGAAGATCCAGCATTTTTCCAATCCTGAAAAAGGATACCTCTGCATGCAAGTACAAGAGAAGCATGACTGCAGTATGTAAAGATGAGCCAAAGCAAACTTTCATTCTGCTAGGCTAGGTACCAACATCAAAGAAAACTGTCCAGTACAGACCTTAATGTAGGAGACAGCCATGGAAAATACACAAGGCTGTACTGACAGCCTTGTACTGACAATCTTTGCAACCTGACTGCTTTTGATGCTTCAGACAACTTTTTCAGTCCTACTTATCTGCATGAGCTGACCTAATGCCACCAGACTGCAGCATAGACATGCCCAAAAGCAAATGCCTAAGGCCTGCAGTGGAGGAATACTTGGAACTAATACTTGACACAACTAGTTACTAGTTATCTGTCCTTATCTTTCAGACAGTGTCACATTGAAACATAGAACCTAAAGGTAAGTGTAAGGTAACTGTGTGGCAATTTGATGTGAATCATTACAGAAAAAGATCTCAAAAGAAGCACACTTCCAAGACGACCTTCAGATAGAGATGCCTCTTTGAGTAACTGAATGTTTCACTGAGGAGACGTTTATAGACATTATTCTGTTTCCTGGAGAGAGAAAAAAAGTGCTTTATAAATGTAATCAATTTCAAGTTTTAGAAGTACTAGTTTACTATCTCTTAGTCTCTGAACTATTGCTGAACTACATTTTATTTTTTTTATGAACTAATGGCTTCCTCAGATTTCTTACGTACATAATTACAAGTCAGGAAAGAAAGTCCATTTAATTCAATTTCTATAGAGCTGGTGAATGATTTAAGGTGTCTATGAAAACACTTAAAAGCCACAAAAACTTCTTACCTTTCCCTTCAAAGTTCTGGAATTTAAGCAGCTAAAACCAGTAATTTATCAGCTGTTGAAGGTGATGAAACAGGGCTTCACTGATGTGGGGGGAAATAACAATCCTGTGGTTAAGACTTTGAACTGGGAGCTACAAGACATAGCTCTTAGCCCAAATTTCCTACAGATTTTGTATGTGACCTCTGCAAGTCATTTCACTCCTTCATGTTTCTATGCATCTGTAAAAATGAGAAATTTTGTTCTCTCTCTCTCTCTCTCTCTCTCTCAGGAATTCTTATGAACCAGCATGTCTGATATGCCATGATACTGGGTTACCTATGTAATACTATAAACGGGAACATCTTAGGCACTAAAATTCATCATTTATCATGTAAAATTGTACTTGCCACACACACAAACAATTGCCAGTCATGACCTGGGAGTTACATGGCCTACAAGTCCTTCCAGAATAGCATTATGTTTTACAGAGAGAACATCAATAACAATAGGAGAGATTCCATCGTAATGGGCCAAAGAATGGTCCTTATCCTGTTGGAAGCATTAATGTTCAATCCCTGGTTTTCCTTATGTCACCAAGTAAAAAAAGATCAGGTAACATGATTTTATGTTGATTGCATTTTGCTTAAATAAGCGCATTAGATACTCTCTCTCCTTTCTTACCATACTATAATAATACAATGATTTAAATTTAGCAGAATTCTGAGGAATTAAACAGCATCATGTAAACAGTGAGGAGACAATTAAAACGAGCCTGGATGATACTGTGACTAAGGAGAGACAGGGCACTGAAGTGCACAATTTCTTAAGAAGTTAAAAAGTAAACAGCAAACCATTTTAATTCTTCCAAGATAGATACATTTAATTATCAATGTTAATAACATTGTAACATGAAAGCAAACACTCAACATGACGATAGGCAGGATGTAAGGTCACTGTGCAAAATACAGAAATCACACTTGTGACTGGAAGCCTGGCCATCAAGGGCATGAACAAGAAGCTATTAATCTGATATGCAAAATACACTGGTGTGCTCCTCTGTTTCAATTGACAGCCACTGTATCCCATACAACTGGAACAGTCTGGGGTTATTGTTGCCACTGCCTCTTTGTCACCTGGCACTTTCTATTTCATAGTATAAAGTGGGACATTTTGCATTTGAACTTCTGCTTCTGCTGCTGTGAGGGGGAATTTTGCAACTTTTCCTCTTTTGTGGGTATTTACACCCAGGCCTACTCCATCGGTGAATTTCCCAGGAACATAAACGGCTTGGCACAGGCTGTTTTTCCTTTGGGAATCCCATCCAAGGTGAACGAAGTGACAGCAGATGTTTGAAACGAATTTCTGTGCATTTTGCCATGTAAAACCAAAATGTGCAAACCAGGGAGGCAGAAGGTCATGTTATGATTTGTTCACTTATAGTGCTCTCAAGCACTCCCAGTGAACGAAATTCCACAACCTGGCTAGGTATCACTGATACTGCTTTGTTAGAAAGCTTTTCTTTTCAGACTACCAGGGTTTTTTTCCACTCCAAATTAGAAGCTGAGTATTTTATGCTCCACTGGTAGAGCTTCTCATCTTTCTGTAACAATATTTTACATAGGAAGAAATTATGTCCATTCAGCCTTCCTCCAAATCCACCTCTTTCAATATTACATACCTGTAAGTCATGTTTTCTATATGTTTTTGCTGTTCACCTCCAGTTGCTTTTTAAAGTTGCTCAGGTCTGGACACACCTTCAGTAGCAGGACATACCTCTCCTGGATTGGATGATACTCTATTAATTCACCCATCAGAGATTTCCTTTTTGCCCCTCTATCTTTCACAGTATCACTTATCTCGTTAGCTTAGTACTGGTTTACTAGTCACACTAAAATCCCTTTGTCTTCTGCAGTATTTCAGTGGGCTATAATCCATTTTATATTTGTGCATTTGATTTCACTTCTGTAAGTGCAATACTTTATACTTGCCTTTAGTGAATGACATCATGTTTATTTACAGTCCTCTATGTATCAAGCAGTTTTGTCCTTTGAGATAGGGCAGGTTCAGACAATAGTAAACTGAAATTCCACCAATAGGGTTGCAATTAAAGTACTGAACAAGAATGGACCCAACAGACCCCCTTGTGACCCTGCTTTGACATGAGATAACTAATAATCACTCCAAGTTTACCTTTTGAAGCAGTCTGCTTTTACTCCATTGCATGATTTGCTTAAGCTTTAATGATAAAAGTCCTAGTGCAGTCAAACATCTCATCTGCTGTATCCATCCTCTGCAGGCTGGTTACTCAGCCAAAGGAGGAAATTGGAGCAATTTCATAAGGATCATTCCTGAAAACTTAAAATTGACTTTCACACTTGAAGTTTAAATACTTGATGAAGTTCTTGCACATGTCAAAGTAAATTCCCCAGGGCCTCCCTTTTTGCCTTGAATGTGGTTCCAGGTGGTCCCCTCCTATCTTCTAATAGCTATATCTCCACGATATAGCTGTCTCTCCCTTTCTCCAAGACAACTGATCATGGTTCATACATTCTTTTGACTGGATCCTTAACTTCAGTAGCCTAACAGATTGGCCATACTGACTTGAGGCAGTCACTGAAAGAAAAATAAGTATGCTTAAATTACTATCTGGACAAAAACCTATTGGTATGCTGGACAGGTCTAAGTGTTCAAAACCTCCCATTTCTGATCTAAGAAGTTTTCTTTTTTAAATAATTATTAATTTTTTAGGATTACAGAATTGTCCTGCTAATTTAGCTCTGTAAGATAAACAGAGGAAAGAAAAAAAACATAAGCCAAACAGTTATGTGGAATCAACCTATCTTGAATGATTTTTCTTTTTCTGCCTGGTTTTCTTCAGAAAGCATTAAAAAGAAATACAATACAGTAGCTAAGCATGAATGAATTTTGACGACGTTTTCTTAAGAATTTTCAAATCCAAATAATTCTAAGATATCTGAATAAAATTTCAGTGCTACATAGCATCAACTTGGAAGACTTTAATGACTACCTTCAGTAATTTTGTTTCTGAAATGTCTTTTCTTTAGCAATGATTTACTTTCTTATAAGTGTTGTTCATTTACATATTTATATTGTAATTGCACATGTTCCCAGGCAGTTAAGAATTTTCAACCTTTGCACTACCCACAGCATGTGTTCACACCACATCTTCACACATACTTCAGATACAGGTGCTGTGTCATCTCAGTCCTGGCTCCACTACAGAATTCCAGAGTTCTCAGAAAGACTTACCCTTCAGTGCAACTTACGAATATTTTTTTTCCTCCATTTTTAAATGTGTGTTCAAACATCTCCATGCATCACTCTCAGTGACCTGGAAAGGGGTGTCACAGTCCTCATGCTAAGACTTACAGATAATCTTACAAGTTTAGCAACAACTCCTTGATGTGTGTGTGATGCCATAAGTCTTGCTGAATGCCAGCTCCAAGTCTCTTGGCTCTGCTCTGACCAGAGAAGAGCTTCACAAGTATCTACAGTGGGCACTCTCCTCAAGGGTTGCCAGAGTTCTGACAAAGTGTGACACTGAGCAGGGTCCTCCATAGACATGTCATACATATATCATTATCCTGTTTAGCAGCCTTTTCAGCTAGGGTTGCTTTGCTATTAACATGATCCTGACTTGATCTTCTGAAGACAAAAACATCCCCCTCCTAGCACCCTGGTAATGAAAGAATGGCCTAGGTACGGGAGGCTACATAAAATTACACTCCCTAGTTAAAACAGAGTCATTTGGGAAGAGGGGAAGCTCTAGGACTTCATGGATGCTTTATCCAAAGAAGTGGCAGAGACCGTCCTAAGTGTGGATTTCACCTGCTCTCCTGAACAATGCTACAATCTGAAGAGACATGATCATGAATGGCAATGCTGTAAACTCCACCGAGGTTCTGTCCTGCAGTCCTAATCCTGGTCATTACCTGGTTTGTTGCCGTTGGTCTTCCACACAGCAAACAATTTAATTAAACCTAAAGAGCCTTTGAGAATACCGAATGAACATGTGTGGCTGGTGCACCAAGATAATGCTGCAAAGTGAATGTGGAGCAGACTATGGGATGGTTGAGCTCCTTTAGCTCAAACAGGAAGTCTGGACCTTCAGCCAAGAGAAAATAAACAGAAGGCTTTTTGGAGAACTCTCTCATAGAGCCCTTTATGCTCTTGATAAGGATTTCTCCCATACCATAGGAACATCAGTACTCTAACACTGACAGATGTCCAGTACTCACATTGAAATAGGAATAGACTAGAATACGTAAAGAATTTTTAATCAGCTTAGAGATCAGATAGAGATGTTAGTTCAAGATCTGACAGATGTAGATAGATATGAAAAACCAAACCAAATCAAACCTAAGGTTATTTTTCCAGCAAGACTAGAAAGGGGCTCATCATAGTAGAAGGATGAATATCTAGGTACTCTGTCCAACTTTTCACAGCCTGAAAAGATTCCTGAAGAGAAAAAACTGATAGATTTCTGCCCTCCCTTGAATTTCAGGGACTATTTAATGCAGATAAATTTTTTTGTTTTGTTTTGGGGGGAGGGGTTGTGGGGTTTTTTGTTTGTTTGTTTGTTTACTGGCCCTGAAATTAAAACAAATTAATTTGAAGAACCATAAAGTGGTTGATAGAACCTGAGCAAATTGATTTTATGTTTTAGAAGCCAGTTATTCAGGCAAAAAAGCCATGGTCCATCTCAGATGAGCTATCTGCACTGTCAGGACTCTGCTAAAAGACAACTAGTCCAAACAAAAGTAATTTGCATTTTTTTCTGAAAGTCCAAATATTTTCAAGGATGTGATTAAAATAACAGTCCTTTCCTATATTGGAAAATTACAGAAGTGGGACTACTTTCCTGAATTTGAATTTTAAGCATAAATGCTTTCTCTTGCAAATCTAGGATGAATCACCATTGTACTTTCTGCTTGGGAGTAAAGTGTGTACTGTAAATGCAGACAAATTAGTTCTATGGATCTCAGTTGTCCAAAGTACCACCAGGTGCTTAAAGAAATTATTATACAGAGAGACTGAAAGTTGATGTGAAGACAAGAAATAAAAAATAAAAATTACTGAACACCATAGTCACGGACAACAAAATTAAAGGCTCCAGTTCATATTAGCATATAAAAAGGTCTGATGAAGCTGAGCTAGTCTCTCATCAGATGGAAGAGAGGCAGAAGGTAGCACAGATGGTGAAAACAGAGGAAATTATTCATGGTTCCTCGTCACACCTTGAAAGAAGCTACTGAGAAGATGATGTTGAAAATTAAAACCAGAAGGCATCCCAGAACAACAAAACCTCTAAACCCTCCTTTATATTCCAAAGGTGTAAATATGTCCTGAGGTTAAATAGGCTTATAGTTTGAGGATTTGTCTTTTATAGAAAATGAAAAAAATCAAGATTTCTTTTTATCTTTCGGAGTAAAAATACCTGAACACCAAAGGTTGACTCTTGAGTCTTTAAACAAATGTAGAATCTTGTTTTCTTCAGATTACTTGAAAGCAAGAGCTAAAATGTCCTGTACATTACATTATTTGCAATGTCACTCAGACCTGCAGCATCAAACACAACTTAGAAAACCATGGGGGAAATTAACTTCTCCTTAATGCAACCTTAAAATTCTTCTAGGATCTTAACAGACTACTTACAACACAGATGAGCTGACAACTGTGCTTATCCTACGAGCAAGCATTGCCTGATTATTTACCAGGAATAGCTGCAAGGAAAGCAAGAAGCAGATTTTCCCAACAGAATAAAGTTTGAAGGTTCTTTCCACCAGCAAATATCAACTAGTGCACTTTTTTTAGATGTGTCCACAATACTGTCCACGACAAAGATATCAGATAAAATGTATTTTAAAACCAGCTTTACGGACTGTGGATGTGTATATTCTGTGATTTTTATAGAGGAAGAGGATGGAGAGAAGTGAGGAAAAAGTGTATTGTAGAACCTAGAGCCTACCTAGGTTATAACCCCCCACCAAACAAATATCCCCATCCAGGCAAAAAACACTCACCATCACTGCAGCACAACACCATTTTCTCTCATTGCTGAAGTGGGAAAAAATTGTAGAGTACAGCAGTTCTTAGGTTATGATGAAAAAGTTGAAGTCACACTGCCAGGAACCAGAGCCCCGACAACCAGAGAGGTGGTGAGGCAGAACTGAAACAGCTCCAAGTACACAAAGTACTTATGCACCAAACATGGTGAGTGGGGGCAAAACAGGACATAAGCATGTACAGTAAGAACAAGGGAAAGCAAATACACTTCGTCCAAAATGACTGGCAGGCCAAAGACATTCAAAGTTAGAATCCTTAACTTTTTGCAAAATGGGGAGGACCACAAACAGGCTTCAAGGTTATAGTCAAATAGGAAACATAAAGAGGATGGAAAATAAAAAATGCTGAGTAATGAGAAAAAGTTAATAGGAATCTTCAGTTTAGATTTTAGGACTTTTTGTGGTTTAAATGAACATAAAATAAAGTGGGTCTTTAATATCAACAAAAGTCCAATTTGACTGGCAGGTGAAAGCTCAGGACTCAATTCCTGACTCTTCTAAAAAATACACATAATTCTGTATTCTACTCCTGCTGAGGTGGGAAAGGATTTTTCTGGGGTCCAAAATGAAGTTAGTAAAATTTTGCCGCCTCTCCAAAGTACTATAACAAATTAAGAAGATTTGACGGTGCCACAATATGTAAACATATTCAAGAATATCTATTGCTTTTAGCCAAGCACAAACCATCACATTATTTCAGAAGAGAGAAATATTCAAAACCAAAAATGTTAAATCTCTGCTGATTGCTTCCCTGTGGTTTAATTAGTGAGGAAAGGCAGAAAGGCATCACAAAATTTCCATTTCAGTTTTACTGTTCCCCACAGCCAATATTTTATGCCTTTGTTTTTATTTCTAGGTTCCAGGGACACATACAAAACATTCAAACTTTTCCTTTTGTTTTCTACCATTAGAAATCCTGGGCACAAATAAAATCTTATAATGGACCACTAGCATTCCTTTCCTCCCCTTCTCTTTCATAAACAATAAACTTATTATATGCCAGTGACAATATACAGACACCCTGGTTTACTTACAAAGATAATTCTGCAATCCAGGTTACTTCTCTAAGAAGCAATAAGGATATGAAATGTCAGTACTCAGAAAGGAGACCTCAAACATGAAAGAACCTTGAACACTGTGCTGTGTCATGGCAACACTAATTCACATAACAAAAAGAATGGTCTGTTGCTAGAATCTCATCTTAGAAAGAAATATACCTTAACTCTCAATTGTAAGCTTTTGTTATATAAAACCTCTCACAACTTTTCATCAGCTTTAAATTGCATTTTGACTTCTATAACCTGGTTCCATTTGTTAACCAAAGGGCAGAACATGCTGCATGCTCAGCTTGCGTAACAGACATCTTTAATGAAAAAGTTAGCTGGATGTTATATAGCTAAAATCATCTTTTTAACAGCTTGATCAGTCTCCATGTGGCAATTAGTCTTTAGAAAACTCTTATTCTGTTGGAAACATGGTTTGATATCATTTATACTTTATATTATTAAATTTTTTGAGCACCCATTTTCCTATTTTTTATTCCTTTTTGTTAAAATTCAGAAACCTGTGAGAATATGTCTAACTCACGAAACTGCTCCATATTCCCATAGAGAAAAATTGTAAGTAAAATTTTCGCCACCCTGCCCTTATATGGATGAAATGGACCTTAAGAAAGATAACATAAATCCAGAAAATACAATGCACAAGGCTGACAGAAACCAGCGTGTAAGCTAGCACAGTCTTTCCAGTCTCCTCTGCTTAACTGGAATTGGAATTTTGCTCTAAGTTCTCCCCACTACAGCTACTATGTGGCATAGAAAAGACCAAAATCCCAACAGCAAATTCACTACCTGGTACGAACACTATTGAGAGACCTCAAATATCCAGGTATTATTTTCTTTGACAATTTCTTACAAATGTGTTTAGAAACTTAAATAAACCTGTAATAAATGATAAAGCTGATCAAAATGATCAAGGCCACAGGATGCAAACATGCTGGACTATGGATAAAAGATGCTATTGGGATCCTTTGATTGTGTGCCTTGTGGCCATACATAGAACTTCCCATATTCTTAATGTGAGGTCCAGAAAGCTTCCTGCTATAGTTGAAAATGTGAAAAAGACTTTGAGGATTCTGTTGACAGAAGTGAACAGTTGAACCCCAGACAAGAGAAACTACCTATTTTCAGCATGCTGTATAAATCCATCATAAGTGTGTCTCAGGAAAGTATCCCAAAGATTATATAAAGAAAAAAATTAGGGAAGAAATGAAAAAATTAACAGTTTTTAGAAAGAAAACTAAAGAAAGCTAAAGACTGAAAACTTACTAACATCACATATATATTCTACTGCATGGGCTAAATCACACAGGGCGATCAGATACCCCAGAGTGACCAGGACAGGCACAAAATGGAAACTTTTTTCCAGAATCTCCAAGAATTTTACCAGATCACTATTTTCATGCAAGTTTTATGAGTGGGATGTAAAAACTTCCCTCTGCCCCTTCTTCTTAAACTGCCACCCTGGAAAAGGCTGGCAAATGGCCGTAAGACTTTCATATAAAACCTGAAATGTTACTTGCACCCAATTTTTCCTTCCAAAACTGATTCATTTTCACCCTACCATGCAAACATATCCAGGCATCACAACAAGAGGACAAGCCAAACTGTGCTTGTAAGATTCAGTTAGGCAAAGCAGTCGTGGTTTCAAGTTCCTCTATTCAGCCATCCGAACTTAGAGTGGATACATAAACTATCATTACAAGAGTTTTGGAAAGTGGTGAATACCAGAAATAGTTTGCAGTTGTCTTATTGTTTTATACTCTTCATTTGTTTCCATTCTCTATGGAACTCTTGGGTTCCATGATTCCCACAAGTCACACAGCTAACATTTAATATTTCAATACTGGAAATTGTTTATGGTTTTTTAACTCCAAGAATTGTGCAACAAACTAAGCAAGCAAGTAACCATAGAAACTGTGGTAGAGAAAGAACTAATTTCAGCTAGGAAACTGCAGTGTATTTTTAATTCTTGCAAATGTTATTCTGTCATATTCTACATGTGAAAAAATCATTTAACATTTGCAGTAACTCACATATACTTGTTATGTACTAAAAGACACTTCTTACTACTGTGCTGTAGTAAGTATTCCATTTCTCTCTTCCTTCTTTTCTCCTCTCTCCCTCCATCACAGTACAACATTTTCTTCTGTTAGCTTACGAACACCTGTATAAAAAAAATTTTACAAGGGTCTTCAATGGAGAAGAAAAATGCACCTTGTGTAGTTATTTTTAAGCAAGTTGACTCTAAGCGTCAATTATATTTACTGTCCTATTAAAAACCAGCTTTTGTGGCATATTATCCTTAAATTGGCTATGAAGGATTCATATTTTCCTTATTCTAGGAACTTTGCTAGGCAGGCAATAAATAACAAGTCCATGAACACATCTAATGATATAAACTACAGCCCGCACGATATATGATGCAACTGAAGCAGTTCAGTGAAACAGGATCGAACTGCTTTTTGGAATCGAAATGATTTTAGGTATCCACATCCCACACGTGACACGGATCTTCATACCCAAAGGAGTATTACATTATGTCCCGTGCCATCTTACAGACACTTTGCTTATAACTATTGTTTCTTACTGATGGTAAAGAACTACACTGGTATTAGTGAACATAAGATAAAAACACTGAGGTTTTCTACTCAACTGCCTATTTTATCCCAATGTTGGTATTTTATGAAGAGTTGAAAACTTCCAGGAAGAAAAAGACCTCAAAACTATCTGGAAATTTGTAATTCATCCATTTGGATTACTTGAGGACTTAAACAAAAATATCTGAAGTAGTTAGTATCTTTCATAAAAACTGAATATGTCTAAATGAAGAAGGCTACACTTGTCTTCTCTTGCAAAACAATGCTTATAAGTATCTTTCCGTAAAAAAGCATCCCAAAAATTTCTGAAAGCAGAGTAATGTACTTTTATTTTTAATAGGAAGAACGCAACCCAAAAAAATGTTCCCAAAGATTCAGCAAAATATCATCAAGCTATGCAGGCTTTGCGGACTTCTTATTTTGTTTTGGGAGGCATTTCAGTTAAATTGTTAATCCAATACATAGAGATATGTGCATACAAATTTCCAGTACTTCTGTAACACTGATGAGTAAATTTTAATTCAATCAAATAACACACCAATTCAACAGAATGCAAAACCATACAGATCACATCTCCAGTCCTGTAAGTACAAGACATCCATGGAATGAAAAAACAGAGAGCCTGGATAAAGCCAGTTCTTCTGTTGACTCTGGCATGGAAATGCATCCTCTTGATTTGGATAACAAAGGCCAAGACCACATGGTCTCTCAGGAAGCAACTGGTTGGAGATACAGTGGGACATAAACAAAGCTTCACACAGCTACCAGCACATGTTAACTGCCACAAACAGCAGGGTTACTGCTTTGGACTAATGGGAGGTGGCCACTTCTCTGCAGCTCACAGCACTTCATTTAGAAACGTCTGCTCTGGTAATTTCATTAATCAAATGTATTTTTATACTTAATGATTATATGTATTATTAATGATATTGTTTTAATGTATTTTTAAAAATTAAATCTGTGAAGTACTTAAACCAAAACAATATGGATTTAACATTTTTATCAAGTGAAGAAACAAAATACCGCAAATAAGAAGAAATTTGGACACAAGCCCAATGTGCCAATTTATTTTTTATTCTCTTTCTACTAGCAGACTCTAGTTTGAACAATTCTTCCTCAAAACCATGCAAATTTCACTGGACAGTACAAGCATTTGCTACAACATCATTCAGGTACATTACTTAAGATGATAAAAAAATCTTCAAACACTGTACTTCAGAAGTAAAGAAGCTGGCGTACAGCTTTGACAAGATTCCAAAAAGTATGTATTAGTTTTAGAAGGGCAAACACTGCTTATTTTTCTTTCCATGACCAAATGATAAACACCGTACCAAGGAAAAACCACACACAGCTACAAATGCTTCCTAAATTCAGACATCATATTCATACCTTATCCTTACAATATTTTAATGTAGCTCAGCTGGTTGCATCCAATGAGACCATCTATTTAGTGACTGCAAAATTACGTACGTACAATAAATAACAGATCCACTAACTCAATGATAAGGTATTACCTTATAAATAATTGCCAATTCCAGTGACACATCAAGACAATGTTCCTTTCAAACCTTACCACCACTTTACCCGAAGATCACAAAGTCAACTGCAATTACTGAACATACAAAGAGTAAAAGGACACATATAGCCAAAGAAGTATCTTAACACTCAAATTTTAACATATGTAATATATGTTGCATACATCAATCCATAAATCAACGCAAAATTTGATAAGGGTGCCACAGGTTGTGATATTAATGTTCTGGCATCTCATACATCAAATGGCAAGGATGGACAGTATTAACTTTACTTGCAAGAATGCAGAATTAACTGGAATGTTTAGATCCCAACAGAAACACATCATAATTTTCATAATTAAACCATACTTACTCTGTAACATCTGCCCCTGACCAAACCTTTGCACAGTATCTTAAAAAAGAACTGGTTTTCCATGCTGACAGCTTTTATAAGTGGGGAAGGTCTGAAGTAGCTTGCTTCTTGTAAAAACTACTCCTTCTCTCCAAGAAAATGACTGAAAATAATCTAGACCATCTATTACAATACTGAAAGCTTGAACTAAAAAGCTTAATGTAACCACAGACTGACACAGAATTCCAAGTAAGCTACAATTCATGGGCAAACTCTTTTTAACCTGGCTGCTTTTTACAGGATACTCTCTCTCTCTTCTCCAAAACCAGCCCCCTCTGAGCCTGCAACGGTGTGAAGCTCTGATGAATCTTTTGAAAGCCTGGTGTAACTTGAACGCTGGCTCCGCTTGTGAGCGACCGTCTTCAGGTTCTCATTCTGAACTGCAGTTGGGTTGGAACCTGAGCCAGGGTGCAGGATGACTTGAGATGGATCTCTGATACCTTGTATTTCTTCAAAATTTTGATTAGCTCGATTGCTTGGAGCACTGTTGTTATTTAAGGTGACTGTACTAGGGGTTCTGTTTAAATTATAGACTTTCTGGCAAGCTGGCCAGTTCTCTTCAGGGCTACTTGCTATCAGGCTGCTTTCAGAAGGGCTTTTCTTATCTTCTGAGCAAATAGACATGCGAACCACAGCTGGATCTTGAAGGCCACTAAGGCTGTGTGGAATTCCTCTCTTTGCACTGTGACTGTCATCTTCAAGCTCAATGAGATTCGTCTTTTCAAGCTGTGAATCATCTGCTCCTTCATTATGGAGGGAATGATTTGGAGAACTTTCATTGGATCTTACACCAGAGTCAGATGAATCTTTCTTATCCAAAAGGGCATCTGTCAAGTACTCCTTTGCTTTGATGAAGGTTCTAATAGGTTCAGAACCATGTTCTGGAGATTTGGGCTGCTTCTCTATTTTGATATCTGTTTTCTTATCTTTACCTTCCTTAAGGAGAGGAGTATTATCTGATTCCTCAGTTCCGGACTCATCTTCATCACTGGGAAGTTTCTGATACCGGAGAGTAACTCCCTTAAGCTTTAAATCTGCAGCCTGGAATATACTTGTTCTTTCTGAAGACTTCTTTCCTGGGAGAAGTTTGGAACCAGACTGATCAGATTTTTCATCTTCTTCAGTAATAGGATCCAAAGGAGATGCATCACTAGTAGAAACACCTGAAGTACTGTAATCAACAACATCATTTCTCTTCAGCAAGAAGGACTTCCTTCCATCGTCTTGTTTCTGTTCACCATCTTTTCCTTTTTCCTGCTC